AGAGAAAAGCCGTCTCTTAACAGAGGAGGAGGCCTCAGATTTCCACTGTCAAAAACCTCTAATGCAACTTAAAAACAGATTCCCAGCCGGCTTTCACACCTGATGGAAACAAAGGGGCCTCGTCTGTGAATTAGAGGAACAAAAGACTCTTACTGTTAAGTTTGTTTAGGTGTGAATTGCCAATCTACATGTGTGTGTGTCTTATCTCACTCAGCCTTATAACCTGAATCTCTCACTCTCTGCTCTTTGAATTGAGAAAGCTCCTCGGATGAGGAGCGAAACGTCTTCTGTTACAAATAAAGTCCAGTTGTTTTTGTATTGAACGCTTTTTGAAGGACCCTGTGTACACAATTTCATTCCACCTCATGTACCACATGTGATGCGAATGACAATAAAACCTACTTGAACTTGAAAGCTCTTTACAACACAATCTGTGCCCTCATTTATCCATTCATACAGCCCTCTACTATATCTATACAAATAATAATAAGTGCTTTATCAAATTCAGACACTGATGGGACACAAATTGAAGGCAATGAGGGGTTCAGTGTCTTGCCCAGGGAAACTTAGGCATGTGACTGCTGGTGGAATCGGACCCCCAACACTTGCATTGGAGGATGACTGCTCTAACCACTCAACCACAGCCGCCCAAATAGCATTATTAATGGACTTTATATGGATGTAAATGTTTCTGTACAGTGCCCCGAGTCGACTTCTGTTGTGATTTTGTGCTATATAAACAAACTGAATTTGAGTGTGTGTGTGTGTATGTTTGTGAAACATCTGCAAGTGGGAAGGCGACTGGCAGTGTGCGATGAGTCTCGATTTCAACCACGTTAATGGTGTGTGATGGTGGGTTTGTGCATATTGACTGAGATTCAGTATCAGGGGGTTCTGGTATATCTAAAAAAGTTCAATCTGGTCCTCTGGACATTAAAAAAGATTGTAAAACCGTTTCGTCTTTCATCCAAAAGACTTCAGAGGAAGTCTTTCGAATGAAAGACAAAACGGTTCTACTATTTTTTTGTTTTGTTTTGAATGTCCAGAGGACCAGATTTAAATTTTTTAGATTTTTATACCTGGATTATTGAGCATGCATCAGGATGTTCTGGTATATATTTGTGCATATCAGAGGTCACTGAAATATACAAGAAAACTTGACTTTGGAGTCAGAAGTTTGGTTTTTGCTCATTAGACTTTTCCAAGTTTAGCCTTTTTTTCCTCATACTGGCTCTGGACTTAACAGCCCTTTCCTTGCCCTTTGCCTTTGCTCTGGCTAGTTTTCCATTTCCTCCCAGTGCCCACATTCTGTTTTCAATTTTACAGCTATTCCGCATTTCTCTCTTTCCTCTTTTCTAGTGTGCAATTGCTCTTTAAATCTCCTGAATGAACATTTATGGAGATTCAAATTCAGAGATTTGTTATTGTCATTCACACCACATGTGGTACATTTGGTGGAACGAAATTATATACATGGAGTGTACATCTAACAATAAAATGTAAACAAAAAAAACTAATAATATCTAAGATATGAATTGACTATGAACTAAGAAAAATATCAGCTAAAAATATGCTAAGCACTAATAGCATAAAAACAAACACAATATGCTGAACAGCAACAGAAACACAAATCTGTGTGAATAGATGAACACGAATGAACACAGCAACATGAAACAGATCAGCAGCAACATGATGTGATTTTTTTTTCACAATGGTTATCCTGGTTAGAGATTCATGAGTCTATAGGTCACTGTGGAGGGGATGTCAAACTTACTATCCACTGAAGTTGACTTTGGATGAGTAGGCGAGGGCAGTGGTAACCTTTCAAAGCAAAGGACTAGCATAGCAAAGTGTAGCAATAAATAAAAAGACATGTGGGTGTGCAAACCTGTATAATTAGGTGGACAGATGCAGGTATAGTTGTTAACCCCATCTACACACGTGGAGTTATTTTCACAATCATTGTCTTCACAGTCATCTGGGTTTACCTCACACCGTTGACCTTCAAAACCAGGTAGACACACACAGCTGCACACAAACACAAGGGATACAAAATCTGCATTGATACATTTTCATCATGACAGCTATAAGGAGATCTGTAAATATATCTGTGTCAAAGATCAGATACACTTGCACACCTTAAAATAAATTTAATCAGCTAGATAAATCAGTCATTTTATAACACTTCAACTCAAACTTTCCTAGAATAAATAAAGCTAAATAAAATAAAAAGCTGTATTTTAGTAGTGTTTACACACCACTAGACTTGTAGAATATAGTGACCAAACAAGACACAATTCCATGCCTACTTTTATGACAGAAATTAAATGACAAACATACAAACCAGATTCCAAAAAAGTTGGGACACTAAACAAATTGCAAATAAAAACAATGCAAAGATGTGGAGATGGCAAATGTCAATATTTTATTTGTAATATAACATAGATGACAGATCAAAAGTTTAATATGAGTAAATGTAACATTTTAAAGGAAAAATATGTTGATTCAAAATTTCGGTGTCAACAAATCCCAAAAAAGTAGGACGAGTAGCAATAAGTGGCTGGAAAAAGGAAATTGAGCATATAACGAACAGCTGGAAGACCAATTAACACTAATTAGGTCAATTGACAACATGATTGGGTATAAAAAGAGCTTCTCAGAGTGTCAGTGTCTCTCAGAAGCCAAGATGGTAAGAGGATCACCAATTCCACCATTGTTGCGGAGAAAGATAGTGCAACAATACCAGAATGGTGTTACCCAGCGTAAAATAGCAAAGAATTTTAAGTTATCATCATCAACCGTGCATAACCTCATCAAAAGATTCAGAGAATCTGGAACAATCGCTGTGCGTATGGGTCAAGGCCATAAAACTCTACAGGATGCTCGTGATCTCTGGGCCCTTAAACGTCAATGTGCCTCAAACAGGAATGCCACTGTCAAGGAAATAACAGAATGGGCTCAGGAATACTTCCAGAAAGCATTGTCAGTAAACACAATCCACCGTGCAATCCGCTGTTGCCAGCTGAAATTCTACAGTGCAAAGAGGAAGCCATTTCTAAGCAAGCTCCACAAGCTTAGACGTTTTCACTGGGCCAGGGGTCATTTAAAATGGAGTGTGGCCAAATGGAAGACTGTTCTGTGGTCAGATGAGTCACGATTTGAAGTTCTTTATGGAACACTGGGACGCCATGTCATCCGGACCAGAGAGGACAAGGATAGTCCAAGTTGTTATCAACGCTCCGTTCAGAAGCCTGCATCACTGATGATACGGGGTTGCATGAGCGCTTGTGGCATGGGCAGCTTGCATATCTGGAAAGGCACCATTAATGCAGATAACTATGTTCAGGTTCTAGAACAACATATGCTTCCATCTAGACGTCATCTCTTTCAGGGAAGACCCTGCATTTTTCAACACGATAATGCCAGACAACATTCTGCAGCAATCACAACATCATGGCTACGTAGGAGAAGGATCCGGGTACTGAAATGGACAGCCTGCAGTCCAGATCAGATCTTTCACCAATAGAGAACATTTGGTGCATCATAAAGAGGAAGGTGCGAAAAAGAAGGCCCAAGACGATTGAACAGTTAGAGGCCTGTATTAGACATGAATGGGAGAGCATTCCTATTTCTAAACTTGAGAAACTGGTCTCCTCTGTCCCCAGACGTCTGTTGAGTGTTGTAAGAAGAAGGGGGGATGCCACACAGTGGTAAAAATGGACTTGTCCCAACTTTTTTGGGATTTGTTGACGCCATGAAATTTGGAAACAACAGATTTTTCCCTTAAAATTATACATTCTCTCAGTTTAAACTTTTGATCTGTGATTTGTGTTCTATTCTGAATAAAACATTAGATGTTGGCACCTCCACATCATTGTATTCAGTTTTTATTCACAATTTGTTTAGTGTCCCAACTTTTTTGGACTCCGGTTTGTACATTTCAATGTTTAAACTATCCCTACAGCACATTTTATTATTTAGCAATAGGTACTAAAATGTGAAGAGCATGAACCCTTGGTTTTGAAGACTCCATTAGAGAAAATCAAAATTGTTCAAATTTTTTATCTTTTAAAACAAAACACCCACAATCAGCTGAAGAAAACAATAATTGGGCACAACCCACTCAGATCTCTCAAACCAGCCAGTAGCTATAGCTATTTTTCACATGAACATAAGTAATCAAGTTACACAGCCATTCAGAATAAAAATGTGTCATGTAAACGCCCCATTCGGATTATTCTTTGTTTTTTCAGCGCTATGTTAAAAAATTAGTAATCAGGATGAAAAGGGTAGTTTACGCTGATTCATAATCCGAAAGGTGTCCATGTCAATACCCAATCTGTTCATTTTTTTCCAATCGTGAAAAACTGACCTGACTGCGCATGTGCGATTTATGTCATTTTCGCCTGGCTAATGCTAATAATATTAGCATGTCGGTGAAACAAAACTGGTCAGCGAGCGACACAACATTTCTACTAGAAACTTTGAAAGAGCTCAAAATGATCTTTATTGTAGCTCAGTCAGGGAGTGCAGTAACGTCTCCACTGTCATTAAAACCTGTCGCAGGTCCATTTTGGGTTCTCAGCTTTGTTTACATTCATCCATGAAGTAAACCGGAAGTAGAACTTCTTCTTCTGTGTTTTTTTAAGGAGAGTTTACTACTCTGTGCATGTCAGTACTTCTGTTCAGAACAAAGCCCGCTGCATGTAAACGCTCATCATGAACGGATTGTGCCCATGTAAACGATACATTTGAATTATTTAATTTGAAAACATTTCAAACCGGTCAAAGAATTTTACACATGTAAAAATAGCTGCCGAGGAGCACAAACCAGTGTATCTTTTGTGCCGGTCCCAAGTCCATGTAACTGGCGAGGGTTGCTACCATGTTGCACCGTTGCTGTAGACAAACAAGGTGCAGGTAGAAATTGTTCTACTCTTAGATGAGATCATGATAATGTAAACATGTCAGGAGACAGTGAGAGAAGAGGAAAGTCAAAAATTTAGGACAGCGGGTTGCAACTTTAAATGTGGGGACAATGGCAGGCAAAGGTAGAGAGCTGGAAGACAATGCAGAGAAAGAAGGTAGATGTTTTATCAAAGTTCATGCTCAATCATCCAGGTATAAAATCCAAAAATGGTCAGTCAGGTCATTTGGACAGATTCTCTTGTGTGGAAAGACGTTTTGTCCTCTATTCGGAGGGCTTCGTCAGTCTGAGGAATTCCAAGTAAACTGTTTTCTTCACTAAGTAGTACACTCCTTTAGTGGTTGGTCCACTAAAGGCGAACTGACCGTTATTGGGTAGATGTTTTATGTATCCAAGATGTTTTATGTATCCAAGAGACCAGGTGGAAGGGCAGCAAGTCTAGCAGCATTGGAGCAGGGTTTAAGCTATTTTACCAAGGTGTGGATAGAAAGATAAATGGAGAGAGAGTGTGTGTAGGGGGAGGGGGGGGGGTAGGAAGAGTTGGCAAAGAAAATAGTAGAGGTGAATAGTTTCAGATAGGTTTAATATAAGTTAAGTCAGGTCCTCTGGACGTTCAAAAAAACGTACCGGGCAAGCAAGATCCTTCAGAAGGCACAGACCGAGCTGCTGAATGAATGGATGAGATAGACCAAATTTACTATTGAGGCCTTAAAGGTCAAAGAAGAGCTCATTAAACTCTCCTGTGCTGTGCCATCCTTTTGGCCAGTGGCTGTTTAGTTTCCCTGATGTAAGACTGATCACAGCCCACCTGACACTGAACAGCATACACAACATTACTCTGTTTGTGCCGGGGGACTGGATCTTTGGGATGAACCGATCTTTGCTGTAATGTATTTTGGGGTTTAAAAGCCACAGGGACGTTGTGTTTAGAAAATAAACGTCTCAGTTTCTCTGATACTCCCGCAACATATGGATTGACCACTGGTCTGGGTTCCTCCTTCTCACCTGATGGCTGACTGGAGTCCTGTTTGGGTTTCTTCTCTGCTTTCAGGAAGGCCCAGTTATGATAACCACATTTCTCTAGAGCCTGTCTTGTGTGGGATTTCTCCTTCTGCCTGGCTCCTGAGTTAGTGGGGACAGTGTCTGCTCTGTGGTACAGAGTCCTGATGACTCCTAACTTGTGCTCCAAAGGGTGATGGGAGTCAAACTGCAAATACTGGTCTGTGTGGGTGGGTTTGCGGTAAACCTCAGTTTGCAAATGTCCTCTATCAGAGACTCAGACCTCACAGTCCAAGAAAGCCAACCTGCCATTTTTTACATCTTCTCATGTGAAGTTAATGTATTTATCCACAGAGTTGCTGTGGTCAGTAAAATGTTAGACTTCCTGAGATTTTATTTTAACCAAGGTGTCGTCAACATACTTGAACCAATGACTTGGTGGTGTCCCTGAAAAGGACGTCAAGGCTCTCTTTTCTACCTCCTCCATGTACAGGTTGGCAACAATAGGAGAAACTGGAGACCCCATAGCACACCCATGTTTCTGCCTATAATATTGCTCCCCATATGTGAAGTAGATTGACTGCAGGCACAGTTTCAAGAGTTGACACAGTTGTTCTGTGGAAAGCGTGGTCCTGCTACTAAGAGTGGTGTCTGATTTTAATCTTAAACTGACCACCTCTACTGCATCATCAACAGGAATGCACGTAAAGGGTGTTGTGATATCAAAAGAAACCATTGTTTCTTCAGTCTCCATGATGACATCCTTCACCTTATCCACAAAGTCCATGGTGTTCTGTATGTGGTGTTATGAGCTGCCAACTAATGGGATGAGTACAGACGCCAGATATTTGGAAACATTGTAAGTGCCAGAGTTAATCATGCTAACAATTGGTCTTAAAGGTACGTCTTGTTTGTGAATTTTAGTTAAACCATACAGACTAGGTGTGGTCTCCCCTGGGTACAGTCTGTGGGACAGAATATGGTCAATGTCCCCCTCTAACAATGCTGTTATTGCTAGCATCACTCAGCCTCCTGTGAATAGCAAACAACCATCAGGGTGCTAATGATCTATTGTTAAGCTGATGGTCCTCCTTGATCATGTGAGCAGCTGGTTTTGGCTGTCAGTAGCAAACTGGTTGATCCACTATGAGAAGGTGCTATTTATAAGACTGAGCTGAATACAGCACCTCAGACTGAAGAAGTCTTTCAGATGAAAGACGAAACGTTTCTACTTTTTTTTTGTTTGTTTTGTTTTTTGAATGTCCAGAGGACCAGACTTAACTTTTTTAGCCATCCATCCATTTTTTTTTCCAATATCCAAGGTTGGGTCGCAGGGGTAGCAGCCTAAGCAGGGAGGCCCAGACTTTCCTCTCCTCAGCCACTTGAGCCAGCTCTTCCGGGGAAATCCCAAGGTGTTTACAGGCCAGCCGAGAAACATAGTACCTCCAGCATGTCCTGGGTCTTCCTCTGGGTCTCCTCTCCATGGGACATTTCTGGAACACCTCACCAGGGAGGCATCCAGGAGGCATCCTAACCAGATGTTCAGTGCCCTGAGATGACTTCTGTTGTGACTTGGCGCTATGTAAATAAACTGAATTTAAGTGAAATAGTTTGAGCCACCTCAACTGGCTGCTCTCGACGTGGAGAATCAGCGACTCTACTCTGAGTCTCTCCCGGATGACCGAACTTCTCACCCTATCTCTAAGGGAGAGTCCAGCGAACTTGCGGAGAAAACTCATTTTGGCAACCTGTATCCATGAACTCATTCTTTCGGTCACAACCCAAAGCTCATGACCATAGATGAAGGTAGGAACGTAGCTTGACCGGTAAATTGAGTGCTTTGCCTTTTGACTCAGCTCTCTCTTCGCCACGACGGACAGGCACAGCACCCACTTCACAGTAGATGCCAATCAATCTCTCGCTCCATTTTTCCCTCATTTAGGGAAGATTTGATCAGATCAGAAGATCAATACTTGCCACACAAACTAAATAGTTTCCTAATGACTGCTTCTTGGTTTTTGATCTATTTGCCATCTATATATAATGAGCTATGAAAGCTCTACAAACTTCTCATGTTTAAATAAAAAAATTTCAAGTGAGAAATTGGCACACATTTTCTAGCAAAAGTAATTCCCTTCCCAAACACACTCAATGCCACATTTTCTTAAGTGCTAAAAATCAAATAATGTACTTAAAGTGATCTTTCTGGCTGGGTTGAAGATGGCAGGTTCCTCCATTAAAGCAAGGGAAGCCGATGCATGCGTTCATGGGAATCTCACAGTCTTGACCCTGAATGGCACAAGTGGAAAATATGGAAAATATATTAATAATTGCTGTGCTTTTCTTCCAATTCTAAGGAAACAAACTACAATGTGTTTTAAACTGCTTAATTTCAGTCTTTTTAAACATAACACTTTGCTCTACTTTTACAGACCAATGAAAAACAGTCTTGGCAAACTTCCTAATAATTGCAGGAAATGATTTATTTGCATCTGAAGAATAAGATTCCTTACTGTTTTTTTTTTTCATTTAGCCTTTATTTATACAGGTTAGTCTCATTGAGCCACGAGAACTCATTTTCAAGAGAGACCTGTTTTAGGGAGCACATGGTGGGGGTTAAGGGGCCTTGCTCATGGGCCCAGAGTGGGGCGAATGAGGGTGGGGGCAAGTGTGGGTGTTTAACCTACCCCACCCACAATTTTGATGTTGTCGGGGCCGGGGCGTGAACCAGCGATCTTCGGATCACAAGCCCACCTCTCTAACCTCTGCGCCACCACTCCCCCTAATCATTTTCGTTTGATCGTTTTATCATAATCTTTCCTAAAACAACAATTTAAAAATGAGTAGCAAAACAAATGTACATATGTAGTGAACTTAATCTGAGGTCAAGACCAAGCCTAAGGTCAAAACTCTTGACCTTAAGAACCTTGTGGGACAGGAACTGTCATTTCATTGATTTGAATCCAGAAATACAGGTTCACCCATCCTGAGACTTTCTTTCTTGAAAATTCAAGTGGAAGAACACTCTCTGTTCTAGTATCATTACTATTTTACAAATGTTGATAATCAAAGTGCCTTAGTTCAAACCATTTTAGATGTTGCAGTGAACTAATCAATTTTATTAACTGTGTAATGATTTTTAATTCTCATGCAAAGTTAGAATTCATGTTAAGGTCTGTTACAGATTTTTATGCATTTTCTGATTTCTGCTTTTGAATGAGCAAGTGTGCGTTTTCCAGGGTCAGGAATCGAAGCAGACATGTGTTGGAACAACTGTCTTGTTTATATCCTCTCAGACATCAACAGGGGGGTTTTGGCACCTGTTTTTCAAACTCGCCAAAACAAAACTCTCTCTGTCTGTGAGAACATTTCTGATCTGTTCCATAACAATTCTTGCTGTCTTCTAACCTCTTACGTCACAAAACACCCCCCCGTCTGGTCGGTTCTGACCAATGGGAAGACTCCCGAATGAACCGGGAAAAGAGCTCTTTAAAATGTCGGTACTTCCTGGTCTACACAGTTCGGTGGGTTCTGTTGGATACACGGTTCTGTGGAGTTGGAGAAGTTCGGCGGCGCGGACAGTTCTGATATGTCCTAGCGCTGGGCAGTAGCTGTGGGAGCCGGGAAGATCCTGACATGACAACAGAGCTCTTCCGAGTTTCATGGGATTATAACATTTTCCACTGAGGTGAGCTGTGGCGGACAGAATCTCGCCGCTACTCCGGACGAGTAACAGCATCCTACGGAGACGCTGAAAGGGTGCGTTAAACGGAATCTCGCCTGAGACATCTCCAGGTAAAAGAGTCGATTTCACCACCTAAGTGTACTGTAAGGAAGAAGCTGAAGAAAGCCCGGAGAGTGCCGTTCTGTTCAACACTCTACCTCAAACACCATCTTTTCATCTTTAAACTCTTCTATCAAGTAGATATTCTTCCAGATATTTTAGAAATGTCTGTGTAAAGTGCTCATCCACCGCCGTGTGGGTAAAAGATCATAATTGTACAGTTTTCATAAATGTCTGTGGTGAAGCAACGGAAAAATCATGGCCGTATGATTTTTCCTGATCGATTGCTTATGTTGTTATTTTCATAATTTGCCAAATTAATGTAAATGTTTGATGTTAAACTTTGATTCTGTAAATAAATGACCGCATTCATTTTGATGGGTCAAAGATAAATGACGTCTCACGTTTGCATTTCCTTAAATTCAATGCATGTTTTATTCAGTCCAGAAAAATGAGGAATCCGTGTTAATTGATGAATATATGTAGTGAGTCACGTGGGTACGTGTCACTTGTTGTATGACAAATATATGTGGTATATATTTATGCATACTTTTCACGAGTTCCTCATCTTTCTGACTGTGTAATGCCGTGCATTGAATTTAACAGAAATGTAACGAGAGACGTTATTACCTTTGACCCATCAAATGAATGGAGTCATTTATTTTCAGAATCAAAGTTTAACATCAAACATTTACATTAATTTGGCAAAATATGAAAATAATAACAGACAGTTTCACAGAAAATGAACTTCAAAACACTCGGCGGTGATTTGAGGACTTTGCTTCAGATATTTCTAAAATATCTGTACTAGTTTTGTGAGAGAGAGGTGAGTTTAAGAGGAAATTGAGATTTATCTTACAGAGGAATATGTGAGGGAATTTAATCTGTTTGACCAGAAATTGCACGCTCCCATCAGGTATCTCAGCTTGTCCCAGGTACACTTTAGTCGAAGAAGAAACCGTTACCTTGTTGACGATAGATCACCTCAGTAAGAATCCTTCAGACTGATATCAGCGTCTCCGTTGAGAACAGCTAAAATCCTTGGAGAGTCGTGCGTGGTTAGTTCAAACAGAATCATAATCCCAAAACGTCTCTGGATTCTCGGCAACTCTGACTCTTCATTGTCAGCAGCTCTCAGACTCTTTCAGATCTTCTCAGACTCCAACTCCAAAACTCTCCATAACTCTAGTTCTCTGGAAACTCCAACGCTCCAGAACTGTTCACCATTCCAACTCTCTTCTGAACTCCTTGAGAACTTTGCCATTCTAACATGAACTGGGAAGTTGCCACATTTTATTTGGGTCGACTTCCGGTTCAATTTAGAGCTTTCTGATTCGTGGATGTACCAGAAAGAGGTGTGGTTTTTTGACGTAAGTTATTATCAAAAGTCAAGGATTGTTTTCAACATACAGAAAAGATTATTGCAGTCGACCAGACTTCGTGGAGTCTCACACTTGGTAATCTTTTCAAATAGTAAAACATGACATTTCTTCTTCAGTAAACATTTAGTTGACCGAAGCTTCAACTTTCACACACTTACGACTTGGCTCATTTCAGACAGAAAATCAAGAAATGCATATTCAGGTGATTTCTTCTTTGAATGAGGAATAAAAATCATTACTTACTGTTTATGTAAAATAAAGATGAGTAGTTCTTTTCAACCTGTAAGCATTGAGTGAAACTAACACAATTTGATTATCAAAACATTTGTAAGACAGTAATGATTATAAAGAATTGTCTTTTCTGCTTGATTAATTCAAGAAAGAAAGTCATCAGATGGCTCAGACTTATTCAGATCAATGAAAATAACAGTCTCTGTCCATCTGGTAGATTTGAGGTCATCAGGGTCAGATGAGGGTCAGATCATCAGGTCATCTGGTTCACTACATATATCTGAGCATCTGTTCATCTACATTCTGGTGGCCCGTCACGTGCTCATAAATGGACTGCGTATTCGTGTAAAGATTGATTTTACATGTTGGCATGAGGAAAGTAGCAGTCAAAACATTGCATGTTTGCGCAGCGTGCTGGAGCTGCGCGCTTGGAGCTTGGCTCTGCATGTTTACGCTGTATTACGCTGGCGATGTTATGAAAGCTGAAATAGTGTCATATGTCTTGGGAAAGCTGAAATTGTACGCCTGTTATGGTAACTAAAAGCTGGGGTGTGGAAACGCTCTATTCTGTTTAAAGACGGTCCAGACGCGGTTCTGGCCCGGCTCGGTTCTGAAAAGGTTCGGACGAGTTGTTTAAATAGCTAGAAAGACGTTTTTGAGACCGGAGTAGCAGACTCCGTGCAACTCAGAATTGATTCGTTACAATTTTTAACAGAAAAAGTGCATTTTGACAGTTTAAAAGACGAAAAGTTGACGAACTTGTTTCAGGCTAATCTAACATGCTGCTTGCTACAAACGCTTTGTAATTGGTTGAATTTGCTGCTGTGGAGTGCTCTGATTTGCTGAGAAATTGAATGACGTGCCTACGTCACTTCCTCTCACCCCTGTGCTGCTTTGTCATTGGTGATTTCAGTCACGTGACCCGGAAATGGAAACTCGTTTTCATAGGGAATAAAATCTGCTTTTTAAAGCTGAAAAGCGCTTTAAAGCTGTGTTCTGAAACGCTGTTTAAGTTCTTCGAAGTCTAATTGCTAAAATTTTGCCACGTTTGTGTAGAAAATCCGTTCAGAAATGTTGGTTTTAACCGAGTCTAGCCGATGCTAATTTTGAGCTAACAGCTAACGACCGGACGCCACAGGAAGTCATAGCGACCCCTACTGGACAACACTAACAGTGTCTGAGTTAAAATTAATAAGGTTGTACTGCCACCTTCTGGAGAAACGCGAGATAACAGGTTTTCACTTCGCTTTTTAGGTATTTTGAGTGAAATTAAACGTTTATTTCTGTAAGTCGAACTTTGAATTAACAAACTTCCTCGAGCTGAATTATACTGTTATGTTATCTTACCATTACAAGTCAGTAAAGTATTTACGCCCAGCGAGGCGTTTACTAAGAATTTTTTCATTCACTGATAAATCCTAAAGCAGGTGCAAAATGAAAAAATAGGCTCATACAATACTGCAACAATATGTCTTAATAATACCATACCATACCACTATATTTATAAAGCACTTAAAACAGCTACAAGGCCAACCAAAGTGCTGTACAGACAAAACAACAGGTAACACACAAAGCAAAATACAAAATGAGGTAAATCAGAATATAGACAAAAAACGATGCAGATAATGACGACTAACCAGTGTAGAGCATACAGGATCAAAACACAGATCATCTTGTGTTGAAAGCTATTGAATAGTAGTGAGTTTTTAAACAGGACTTGAAAACCGAGAGGGAGGAGGCCTGTCTGACAAGCATTGGTAACTCATTCCAGACTCTTGGTCCTGTTACAGAGAAGGCCCTGTCACCTCTGCGCTTAAGACGAGTTCAGAGTCAGTCAGAGTCAGAGTTTCTTTATTATCATTCGCACCACATGTGGTACATGTGCTGGAGCGAAATTATGTACACAGGGTCCCAGTTACATCCAACAATAAAATGTATAAGAAAAACAGTAATAA